TTAGACTGCAGCTGCAGGGCTTATGGTTTTATATAGCTATATCCATGCATTCCTATATCCAAACACATATATGTGGTGGTTTTTTCTTTTTCTTAGATGCGGCTTCCAAGCATGCTGCTGTAGGCTTTTTTGATTGTCTTAGAGCTGAAATGGAAGAGTTTGATATATCTGTCAGCACTGTGAATCCAACCTTCATCTGTTCATACCATCGCCAACCAGCGCCTGGCAACTGGGAGGCATCTATTTGGAAATGTAAGTGCTGATGCATTAAGAGAGACAGCAGCTGAGGTCCATACAGCAGTATGGAGGCTTTTCGCAGGGGGAAGGAACATAAAAGAAGAATGGAAATGACAGAAAGGATCATGGAATCATAGTATCAACTAGGTTGGAAAAGACCTTTAAGATCATGAAGTCCAAACTTTATCTTAGCACTTCCAAGGTAACCACTAACTCATGTCACTAAGAGCCTCATCTACACAGTTTTGAACACTTTCAGGGATGGTAGCTCCACCACTGCCCTGGGAAAACTGAACAGGCTAGGGAGTAAAAGAAAAGAGAGACTGGAGAGATGGGATGAGCCTAGTGAAAAGAGAAGGACACAGAAAAAGACATCTTTGTGTGAGAAAATAAATACACCAGGGCATGAGGAGTGGAGATAGAGCAGAGCACGAAAGGTCCCAAGGGAGAGTTCCACCCAACTCAAGTGGTTCTTTCTTTCAGGCACTATGAGGATTTTACTTTAAAACTGTAAAAAGATCTTAGGGACATGCTGACGAGGGAAAGGGAATGGGTAAGGGATAAAAAGTGCCTAGGAGTGTAACTAATTTGACTGTTTCACTAGCTGCGTATCTTTTCACCACCATTCCTTCAGATGTGCCTGACTGTCTGCTGTAGCTCCCACTCCTCTCTCTTTGATTTACAGTCTTTTTCAGAAAGGTGGCATACGGTGTGCACCCGGTGGAGGTGGCAGAGGAAGTCTTGCGCACTGTGAGCAGTAAGAAGCAGGAGGTACTTATGGCCAACCCTATCCCCAGAGCAGCAGTTTACATTCGCACCTTCTTTCCTGAGCTGTTTTTTGCCATTGTTGCCTCCGGGATTAGGGAAAAGCAGAAGACAGAAGAGGAAAACTGATTTTATTCAAGGGTTTTCCCTGCTTTTGACCTAAAAGAAGTTTATGTTTCTGTCAGTGTTTATAGCAAAGAGTTTATGTCAATGATTTCTGCTTCTCACTATAGGTAGAATAAAGCAGGAGGCTTTATTAAACATGAACCAGTCAATGTCTCAGTGATTCACTACCACTGACACATATTCATCTGTGAGACTTCTATTATTCTGGATTCAGTGAATATGTCAAGATATCATGTTTGCATTACAACAGTATAGGAAAAACTCTACTAGGAATTCTACAGCTGTTACAAGAGAGTGATTCCCAATCTAAATTGGCAGATCAAATTCTGGGGACCTGCCGCCACTTATCAGAACAGTCTGCAAGTGCTAAGACTGATGAGAATTTACAGGAACAAAGGGATGGGGAAGAAGGGAGATGTGGGACACTGAGGAGTAAAAATCAGTGGAAAATCGGGTCAGAGACTGGATCAGAGTGCTCCTCAGATGTACTCTTTGGAAATACTTGCAGGATATGCAAATGGTGAGCCCAAATAAGAGCTTACCTAGTTCAATATCCCATCCGCAACAGGACCCTGGAGTGCATGCTTCTTAAAAAGTGAATTATTAGAATGGGTCAATAATATGGAGACGCTCCCTGTATTACACTCTCCCAGGTTCTGATCATCTGCTACACAGTTTGAAACAAAATCAGTCTCTGCATCTTGTTAAGCAACCAATTTTTCCTATTTTTTTTTTCAAATTCCTATTCAAAGCGTTCTATCCCTGAGGAATTAATCCTATATATATATATATATATATATAAAGACTTCCTTATGTTTGCTTTAAACTGGTCATCAGATAATATTCTCTGGTATCTCCTACTTCTTTTACTGTGGGAGACAAAAATAATGGCACTCAATTCACTGACTCTCAGTCATCCATGCTCATCATACTTTCCATGCAGTTACCTGTTTTCCAGGTAGGAGAGCCTTGATATCTCTTTAGTCTCTGTTGTTGAGAAGTCTGAATTATTCTTCCTGTTCTTCTTTATATCTTTTCCTGGTATATCTTTTTTAAATTATTATTAATTTTTAGATGGACAGGCCACTGCTGAATGCAGCATTTAAGAAAGATAGACAGTCTGCATTCACAGACAGGCATACAGATGCTTCCTGGGGTTTTCACTTCCTTCCTTCTTTTGCATGTCTTATGCAAATCCTGGTCCTGAGGAATTTTTCTGACTGCTGTTGAGCATTGAGTTCCCTTGTCCACTCTGCCACATGTGGTCCTTAATCATCACATCCAACATAAGCATGGCCATTACTCATGTGAACTGTGTGAACTTCACATATTCCCACAGTTGTCTCTCATAGTCATTCTAGGCTTTTCCTCCCTATCCCATTTTCCAAGTTCATGCTGAGCACTTACCCCTTTTTGTCTCATCCTATGAGGTGAACCAGAATATATATAAAGATAATATAAGGGTGTCTTGATTGTTAGTTTTACTCTAAGAGCATAGATTCTGTTTCGCAAACCTTACCCTGGCCTTTCTTGTGCCATCAGTTCTCACAGACATCACGATCACCTACTTTTTTGCAGGCACTATCAAAATGCGTTGTTTGCAGAATACCTACAAAAGAAATACCTACCCAAGAAGCATGCAGCCAAACTGCATTTGTTGCTACAATAAGCCCCATTGCTCATATAGATTTCCACAGCAACTGCAATTTTCTACCTCTTTCTATCAGTAAGACTCACCAAACATGATAGGAATTCCCAGTGGAAGAAAATACATGGTTATCACCTTGCAGGGACGTTAACCTGTTCATGTATCTCTAATTCAATTGCTCTGGCTTCAAGAAACATGCACGCATCTACCTCAGGAAAGTAGTACCTGCTGGAGCTCCATCTATTTGCTGTTGTAGCACTGGGCTTTTATTGTTTGAATGACTATACCTTAACTGTGAAGTCAAACATCCACTTTGTCCAAAATCTACTTGCTCCTCAACAGAACTCTGCTCCCTCAGAAAAAAAAAGGGCTTTTGCTGTGGTCTCATTTATACTTGTGTCTGAACCTCTGCAAGAGTCAAGCCCTTCACAGCTCCACAGAAACAAAATATGGAATAACTGGGGAATTTAATCAGAAAAAGATCAGAGAATCACAGGACATCACAACTAAACATGAATCAATATTGCCTTGCTTGGTTCTAAAAGCAAATGGATTGTGTGTTGAAATAAGCTGAATAATCCATCTGCTCCATTTTGCACTTTCCAGATATCAGCAGAAATTCTTCAGTGATTTTGAATATTTCACTTTTAAAATGTGGAACAGTTCAAGAAACCACAGTGAAAAGCAGTGAGGGTAAAAAGGTTAAAGCACACCTATGATCAAATTCTTGAGAATTTTTTAAAGGATAGATGTATTTTAATATAGAAAATAGAAGAAAGTTATATCTAAACAGGTTTCAAATACCTAAAATGTACTTCCTAGAGGATAGAACTAAACTGTTCTCCATTTCTGCCGTAGAAAGACAATGTGCTAATGTTAATGCAGAGGAGAATTACAGGGAAAGAATTTTCTGCTAAGAATAGTTAAGCACGAAGGATAAATGCCACAGAAATTTTGGAATGCTTGTATTTGAAAGCTTTAAAGAAGAGATTAATGAAACATCTGTAAAAAAGCAATGCAGCTTTAGTTTATCCTGCCTAGAGAAAAAGAAGGATTAGGTGACCTTTTAAATGGGTCACACTTTTCTATAATTTTGTGGGTTTTTTTCTCATATTAAGAACAAGGCTTCTCCACTGGTATTTCTGAAGTAGTATTTTTCCCTCCAGGAGAATCTATTATTTAATCATAAATTTTCTATTTCTTTTGTCCATCTCTGCCTCACTGTCTGAATACCTGGGTATAGATGTTGCATATAACAAATTCTATGACAATAAGAATATTATGAGATTAGTTCATTAAGAGATATTTTCTGTTAGCCTCACTTATCTATATTTTAAGCCATGTAAATTCCTTAATAATACTAACTTTCATAAATGAGGATGAAACCAGGCCTGCAGATTTAGTTGTAGAAGTCATAGGAGCAAGATACTCAACTACAGCCCTTTTAATTTTTCTAAACTTCTCACATGTCTGAAAGTAGCATAGAATCATAGAATGGTTTAGATGGGGAGGCATCTGAAAGCTCATCCAGTTCCAACTCCCCTGCCACAGGCAGGGACACCTTCCACTAGAGCAGCTTGCTCCAAGCCCCATTCAACCTGGCCTTGAACACTGCCAGGGACTGGACATCCACAAGGTGAGAAACTTCTCTGAGTTGGTCTCTGTGCATGGTGGCACACAATTTTCTGTTAATGTGTGCTGCAGCTCCCCTGTGTTAAATTTAAGGGTTCTTGTGGTGAAATCAGTTGTATCCTGGTGTTGGCCAAGATCCTTTACATTGCTGGCCACAAAGGCCCTTGAAGTAAGGAAGAATTTAAAAAATGCTAAGACTGGAAAGTCTTAGAACTGAGGAGTCTCTTGTCTAATTTCAGACATGGGTCCTAAATACAGCCTATCCAGAGCTAACCTCCCAGTGCCCTTCTTAACCAGTGGAAAGAAACAGGTGATTTATCTGACATACAGCTTAGGATAGCACGGATTGGGATGGGAGCTTTGCAGTCTTTTCAATAAAGAATGAGGGTGGAAACTCCTCTGAAATTCTAACAAGCTCACATACTTTATATTAGCACTAGAGAGTGATTACAAATCAGAACATTGGAGGGCCTGTATCACTGTCTTTTTGGAACTGAGACACCTGAACGTACTTTTCCAGTACTAGGACTTCCTTGAAACACTCATGGAAATAGGATTTATTTATTAAAAAATAAAGATAACTAACACTACACAAGTATACATTTTTATTAATACTGTTTCATTTTGATCTGACATTATGATTTATAGGATGCCTTGAGGTACAGTTCAAATTTACAGAACTGAAATAGTGGCCAGGTGCCGCAAGCCTTTTATTGGACGTGCAGGGTCCTCCGTACGGTTGTGAAACGAGTTCACATACACATTGCAAGCTTTCTCTGGAGATGTATGATCAGGAAACTTGTATTTAATCTTTAAACTCCTTCCCAACGTTTTTCTTTTGTGCTTGAATTCCAAAATAGTTTTTGTGTATTTGTTAATAGTGGTGACAGCTGCAGCCATACAGCAAGCGAAGGAAGCCCATGCGAGGCTATAAACAAAAAGGTTTATCAGAAATTAGCAGAATGTTTTCATATCCATGTCCTTCCATTTTATTTGTGAAAATACTGCATACATGTGCTTGTATTGGGGTGTATTAGGGAAAGAGGAGCATGGTGTGGGAGAAGAAAGACCATTTACATACCTAACTTACATTTTGACATCTACATATTCACATTTAACATTCCTGTTTAATAAAATCCTACCTCAAATTTCTGTTTACTCAGAGTTTAATATCAGAAAAAGGAACTATTAAAAAAAGAGGATGCATAAAAAATTAAAAGGTGTAGTTATTGAGACTATGAATCTCACAGGTGATGTACCACTGAGATGTATATGTGCCAGTTATCCAAAAGGGTTAAAAAGAAAAGAGAATGCACAATGAAGTAGCTCACTAAAGCAGGCTTAAAGCACTGAATTACATTCCTGAGAAAACATAGGTCATGACTAAGCAGAAAGAAAAGGCCATCAACTTCTAAATGTTAAAAGTAAAACCATAAGAAAACAGCATAAAGAACCAAAGTTGACTTGAACTACTGAGTGGACAATGCATGATGGAACTGTAAAAGTAGCATGTAAAAATATGGCCACAGTGGAATGTATTGGAGTTCACTGTGGAGGAATTTGCTCATTGGAGGCTTTCTCAACATGGTAAGGTCATGATTACCTAATGAATCGTTTGCTTTGGTGGAGAGATCAGTGTAAGACACTCCTGCTTATCTCTCTTATCCCTCGGAGCTGTTTGTTTCCACATCCCTGCTGTAGTTCAACAAACACATTTAGGTTTTAAAATACATATTTTTAGCCAGGATTGTTTTCCAAGGTGATCAGGAAATCGTATGCTTTTCAAGAATTTGAGGGTGGTAGAGCATAGCATGTAGATGTGAAGGGCACATAGAAGTAGGAAGAAGAGGAGCAGTTTATGCAATCTTTGCTCCTAAAATCAGTCAGACTACACCCTGACTAACTCTTAAATCTGGGGAGCCACAAAAGAGCTCTTTTAAAAAGCTGTAAAAGTAGGAGCAAATCACCAGACGCAGACAGATTTCCCTCCTTTTGTGAATGGAGCAAGAATGGGACAGCATGCCTACCTATGGTGGTATGTAACCTGGGGTTTATGCCAGCCATGGTAGAGAAGAATTGAAAATTCAGCCCTGGCAATGAGATAAAAGCAGAAGGTCTGCAGCAGTCCTGACTCATGTTGGAGGCATTTTTGGCTAAATAATTAAAGTACAGTAGCATTAGCAGACAAACTATGAAGGTGCTTTTCCTAATCCACCTGTTGAAGCCCTTTGAAGGACTCTGACGTAAGGGCAAGGAACTGATTTCAAGAAAGCTTCTATAAAGGCCTCTTAGCAAAGACTGAAAGAAATTAATCTCTTATGAGCAGATTCTCTTGTAGATCAATACTGCTTTATAAGAGAAAAAAAACAAAGGTCAGAAATAAATGGTTTCCTTTGTCAATACAGGAAGCACATCAGTGTGGTTCTTCAAAGTTTTTTGCCTGAAATTTTGGTTTTCCATAAACAATTTGGAAAAAATGGGGAATTCTCCATCTGACTACAGAGAACAGAGGAAGGAAGTGAGCAAAATCTTGTTACTGAGAGATTCATAAAATAAAGAGCACTTTGGCTGACATGGAAATTCAGCTTCAAGAAGGAGAGCATTCAATCTGAATTCTGCCCACAGACAAATGACAAAAAGGGAAATCAAACAGGTCAACTCAACAAGGAAGCAAGCTATAGCAACCAGTCGTTCATCTGCATAAGAGAAATACCAACAGAAGCTCAGCTGGATTATGGGTTTTCTTTTTACTGCATGGAATATCCCATATGAAGTGTGTTACACCATTTGTCACGATCTGGCCAATCTCCAGTTTGACCAGGCCCATCCTTCATCCATCTGAAAGCACTAGAGAAACATCTCCATTTCTATACACAGGTAACAATACCTTCAAACTGCTGCTGCGTAGGAAACAGGCTTCTGGAAAGGCACAGATCAATGTACTGTGACCTTCCAATGAGATATGAGTTATTAGGAAGTTAAAAAGTAACAGTACAAAAGATGAAAGAAACACCTATTTAATTGCAAAAATCCCTAGCAAGTCTGCACCCTCAAGACTGCGTGCAGCTATAAGCTCTTGTTCAATAATGGGACAATAAAAGTAGAAAGAGCAGTAAGAATGAGTGACAATCTCAGCTGTCAGAGAAGTATGAAGGAGACAATCAGCCTGAGCTCTTTTATACTGACCCAAAATATTGGTCCTGATTGACTTTTTTCAACTGGTCCTATTCTTCTTCTTAGTCACAGTTGGAGAAATAGCAGCAGTTTCCAGGATGTGAACATTCAAATGCTTGCTATTGATCAGATTTGATGGATTTTTGAAGTATCTCGATAGCAAAAATCCTCTAAACAGCCCTCTTCTAATAAAGTCACTAGATCTCCCCAGAAAATGTGTTGCAATTATTTACAGAGCCAAAATAATGCAATTTTACCTAGGACAGTTAAAAAAAATGAGTCATCTTGTCTGAAATGGTCCAGATGCAACAACCTGAAACGTGTATCTGATAAGGAAAATCTCAGCCTAAGTGGTTAAAGCTGGAAGAGTTTTAAACACCTTATGCGAGGCAGCTGTTCTGGGACATGAGGGTACTGGATCCAATGTGTATGGAGAAGGACCTCTGCTTTGTGCAGAGCAGTTGGAGTTCTCCATACTAAAGGATGGCAAATTCAAAATTCACAATCTTATGCATCCTATGTAATAATCTAAGACAACTGAATTTGGAGAAAACCAGCTGCTTGGTAACTGCCTCCCAAGGAGTGAAATAAGGTAGACCCATTCCTTATAAATTAGGTACACATTCCTTGGACATAAGATGAAGTGACTGAAATGTAATGGAAGAACCAAATATAAACCAATAGGTACCAATAGGACCAGCCATAATCCCATGTGTGAGGTCTCCAGTCTTCAGGACCAAGATTTACAGTCATTTGAAATACAGTTGTGTACATCATATGAGCAACCATGCCCAGAAGACCTACAAAATATAATAAGAACATTAGAAAAGGTAAATTAAGGACATTCTTCTTTGTCAGCTTTTTGCACTTGCCCCTTGAGCTCCTGAAGAATATTTTATGAAGTGCCTGAACTCTATAAATCACTCAAAAATGCATAATTTAAGTGTATTAATGTGCCATGTATTTGCCAATACAATCACTAATACACTATCTTGACAGTTACTCTGTACTCAGAGTAATCAGGGGGAGCAAGGGGATGTGCAGCCCATGGATTTTAAAAGGCAATAGGTTGATTTGCTCTCATCCTCTGAAAACGTCTTAATAATTCAATCCTCAGCAGAGATCAGCCATTACAAGCAAGTACTGCTCAGTCGCCTTGCACCTTATACACTTCACAGTTTCTTATTGCTCAGTGGAGAGAGTTTTCACAGGCATGCAGTCATATTCCATTTCCCTGTGCTTTATCAAAGTTTTGTAGGTAAATGAAAAGGTGAACACTTAAAGGCCATTAAAAAGCATTGTAAGCGCTGAAAAAAAGATTATGAAAGGGACTTATATTTAATAATTTATTTTTCAAAATCATTACTAGGTTGCTGCCTAATCCTAAGGGTATCATCATCTGTTTTCCCTTTGCATTTTATCTTCCAGTAGTGACCTTCCCCATGAACATCTATTTTGTTTTGATTTCAGCTTCATTTACAAATCCATAAATATCCTTGCAGAATCAACTATCCCACTGCCTGAAACACATTAGCTTCTCAGAACAGATGGTCTCATCCCAAACTCACAAGACTCAATTTGTTAAGTGTTCATGAAGCAAGTTTGTTCATACGCTAGTGCACAGAATCTCTTAGTCTAGGACACGTCCTCGGGCATAACAAGTCAGGGCTGACACTGATCTGGCTCCAATAATAGCTGGGAAATGGTTTTCCCTGGAATACTAATGTTGCCTGAAACACTATCAACAGGCAATGGGGAGAACCCTTTTACATAGCACAGAAACAAGAGGCTTCATGCTGTGAAACACAGCATTCAGGAGTTAGCAGGAACCATGATAGCACATTTCTTAATAAACTGTTTGGAAAAAGGAGTTTGACTGTCAACTGGCTATTAAGAGAATGACAAAACCAGTCTTAATATTAACTCTTTACCATCTGCCAGATGTCTGACTTACAATTAGATGCCATTCTAAAAGATAAGCTTGCACCAAGTGTAAATCACTTTGGTCTCCAAACTGATTGCTCCATGAGCTCCATGATTGCTTCTGGCTCTAAAATTAATAACCCTATGAAACATTGCTCATAATACATGTAATTTTTAGTTTTTACTGCAACATTCCTCAGCAACAATTCTATAATATAGAACAAATCACAGAGTACTTCAGGCTGTAAGACAGCTTCAGAGATCTCTGGTCCAACCTCCTCCTGCTCAACACACAGTAAACACAGAATCCCCCAGGTTGGACTAGGGACCCTCTGAAGTTTCTTCCAAACTGAATGTGCCCAGGACCCTATGATTAAATAGCACTGGTTTAGGAAGTAATATGTAGAAAATGAAAGACAATTTTAATGGTGACTCTCTACTAACACCCAATTGCATTTTATTCCTTCTTAAAAGTGCTATTTTAATTTGGCTATTGCTAATTTTATACTTAGCATGTTGTAAATAAAATACCCCCAACAAGTTATTTGGAAGAGTATGCTACTTTTTTACCTTTGACAACCAACCTGACAATGAAATTAAAACTTATGAAAAGAAAATAATTAAAATAATAAAAGCTATAAAAATAACATATAAAAATAATCATAGTAAGAAATAGTTAATTGAAAATAATATTTTCCATAACATTTTGCTGCCTCTTGCACTGTATCTGTCTCCATACGTGTTGTAAGAGTTTTGAACACTGTTATTAATTTTCAGCTGGAAGTCTGTCAATGTTACATTTCCTAGATATAGGAAGTTGAGATCTTTAACTGTACCTGCTAATACGGTGACTACTGCAGAGAAGGCGTTGATCTTTAGCCCATCAATGACAGTGCTGTAGTAGCACATTTCTACTGACATAAGAATGACTCCAGTCAGAAGCAAAATGATGTACAGAAGCTCTGTGACAATAGACAGCCATAAAACTCCTGCAAAACCCAATAAATACCAATGATATTCTAAGCAGTCATTTAGTATTTTCACCATTTCTTTCTTCTTCAGTTATATTGTTTACACAACGTTAAACAAAAGCTCAAATCCTGTGAGGATGCTATTATAACATTTATAGGAAAACTTGGAGGTCAGTGGGCACCCTAAATTGCAATTCCCTCTACTGATTTGGCCATTTAGTGGTAGAGTACTTGCATGCTTCTGTTATTCTCTTAAGAAGCTTAAAGTACAAAGTGGAGCAGCATGGTTTTACACTCAGTAGCTACCCTAACATTACCATGAATCAAAGTTAATATAAAAAGAACTACTATCCAGTTACTTACTTGTTGTTGACACAGTTGCTGAGTCCAGACTGAAGTGTACCAAACCAGAAGACCATGTTACCCAGCTAACAGACTGCAAGGCCATGCACACAGTCCTAGACCTGAGGGTCTAGTCATTAACTAAAATCATCCCCATAGGATTAATTTTCCACCAAAGAGGATCTTGATTTTTTGCAGAGAAGCCTTCATGAACCCAGACACTCTCCATGTTTCACTGAGCTTCATTTCTCTGCTTACCTGCTAACCGGTCTCTTTGTGGATTTCTGTTAATGATGTCTTACACAAGAAGTTAATCTGCTCATGATTAACTTCTCAGCCTGCTGTTTTACTGTCAGCACGCTAATGTCTCACAGTCAGGAGCAGGAGGTCTTGTGTCCAGATAGTAGCAAGAGCTGGCCAATAACTTTCCCAAACCTTTCTAAGTCAAGTAAGTGTGAGAATCTGCAACAGTGGCAGGGAGGACGAGACTTCAGATACTGAGCCTTCTTCCTCAAGGGGCTGAAATTGCATATTGCCTGCCCTTGTTGACACACTGCCTGTCCCTCTGCAGGCTGCATGGTGCAAGCCACAGATTTAATGACTGAATATGGAAGTATGAGGAAAGAGGGGCCAAGAACTTACAAATCTTGACTTCCAGTAGTGACATTTAAAGTAATTTAAAAGAACATACCTATTCCAATGGAGTGGCTTCAAAAGACACAGATTAATATTTCAAGTCATGTGGACTTAATTTTGGAGTTGACAAAGTAAATAAAGGACAAAAACCTGTGCGATTAAAGCAAGCATTCTTGATATCAAAATACAGAATATTGGTGTTGGTTAATGTGATCAAGAAGGTTTTATTTACACAAATTATTCATATCTACCTCGATCAGAAGCTGGAGTCAGACTGATGAAGCTTCTACATTTCTCACCTAAAAAAAAAAAAAATTAAAATAAAATTTAGGATGATTTTGTATTCTGTAATAACTTAAAGAAACAGATTCATAGGAAGCAGAAAATGCTAAACCTGTCATAAAAGCACAAATTGAAAAGATGAGGAGAAATGATTTCTGATGTATATTTGTATGCAGAGTCCCTGGTACATCAATCTGTTCTTGACACTTAGCTGGATAATCCTTCCAGAACTTTTTCAAGGCAGGACCAGAATCTGGGAGACATAGAATGGGAGACAATGGGAGACATTGACTTCCAAAAGGTTGTAGCTGTGAAAGCCAGAATGGGAAATCTAGCAACTCATTTGAAGTCCTCTCCTTGCAGCGACAAAGCAGCTGCTCACGCAAATTTCTTCTAAGCTTGATTACAATTTATTCCTGTAAGCTTTGATTTCCAAACCCATGTGACCTCCTGATCCCCCCACAGATGCTGTGAACAAAGCTCTTGGAATTAATTCTGCTCTGCTCTGAAAATACGGGGTGTTTTTTTTTCAGCCACTAAGTTGGAAAACAAGAACTGCACTAGCTCATGCACAAATGAAACAACCACAGCCATCACCACCTGAAAGATGTCTTTTGCACATGTATTTTGCTCTGATCTTTGACATTTACCCCCTTAAAATTGCACAGCTTACAAGACTTTGTGGTGGAACTGGACTTTAAGGACAGGTGTTGTGAAAATATATGCATTTTATATCACATGTGAAAGCTGCTTTGATTTCTGGATGATCTAGTTGTCATTTGTAAACTTGTCAGAACATAAGGGGGAAAACTTAGTGCTGATTTACAATAAATGTCCTATTTGTTGAAGGAGCTAAGCAATTCTTTTATACAAAGATCAAGAAATAACTAGAAGCTGTCTTTAAAGGCAAGCTCATTTCATTCTACTGACATTTACATACACAAAGTGATGCTACCACTCATGATTAGTAAGTCTCTAGATTAGGCTTTAGCAGGGTGAAAATAATCCTGTTTTGCTTTATGAAAGGCAGGAAACAGCTGTGCTGAATTAATGAAATAGCTTAGATCTCACAGATTTAATTGCTCAAATGACTCTAAAAATAAACAAATCACATTGTGCTTTCTGACATTGCCATAGGGAATCATCAGCAGTTGTTTGAGGCAAATATGTTTATTTTTGCCTAAGGGGCTAAAAACATCAGGAAAATAAAACACTGTCCTTAATAGGTAATTTAACTTACTTAGTAATAATAATAGTAACTTAATAGTAATAATAATTTAATACTAATACTAATACTAATAATAAAAATAAACCTGTCACCTTAAAGTTTTTTTCAGGATTTATGGGGAATTTTTAGGAATTGACTAGATAGTACCCTTTAAGATCTCCCTTCCTAGGGAAAAAAAAGTTAAAGGATACTTTTTCCTTTAAAATACATGCATGGCATTGCAGCCGAGGAAGTTGACACCAAATAAGTAGGAAGAACCTAGATGACTTTCTAAAGTAAATTTACAGGGGTTTACTCACCTTCTTCATTTATAATTTCTTCACAGGAATACCAAATTCCAGCATGAAACTTCTGATCAACAAACTTGTCATCTCCTGTCTCCCAAATATATTGCACAGCGTTGCTGTTGCTGGCATCAGGGCTATTAAAGCGGATGCAGTGATCCCCTCTGCTCTGCCCCGTACAGAAAGGTTTGGCAACTTTTCTTGTCCCTTCACACCAGTAACTACTACTGAATGCGGTGATGGAGAAGACTAAAGAGAGAAAACTGAGAGAAAATGCTGCTGAGGCTCTCTGCCGTCTGTCTGCAGCTGGGACTGAAAGTGGCATCCCCCAGGACTGCGCTATCGATTGCTCTAGGCAGAACCTTTTACAAAGCTGTGTATGTATCTGCCTGGTGAAGCACTGCCTGCAGTCACCATCCCATTCTTCATTCCTGTCAGAAAACTGTACCAGCTTAGCTGTTAAGACAGAAAGCAGAGATAAGGGCATGGCCAGAAATCATGTGGCAGGAGAGATTAAGGATATAAGACAGTGCTGTTTGGCAGTAATGTCTTGTGAAAGACATATGAGGAGGTGGGACAATAAATTACAGTTTGCCCCATGAATCACAGGAGAACAGATACACAGAACACAGCAGCGTTGTGTGTACCAAGTATGAGATCAGAAAAGTTGTATTTAGACAAACAGAATATGCACATTTACCTCGATCAGCAGGTGAAGTCACGCTGACGGAACTCCAATTCCCAGCTAAGAAATAAAATCCTGGGGATCCAAATGCTCCTGTTACACTGAATGCTGATTTGATTGAATACATGTGAGTCTTACATGTATTAAGGAGATAAAGCAGTTGCTAAATTAGAGCATTTGACAGCATTAGTCAAAGTGATGAGTCAAGTGATGATGACTGCATCTGTTCAAAGTTCCACCAGTGACAAATGAAAGCCACAAACTACATGATTTTCCTATTGATGGGCTTCTAGGCACTGTCCAGTCTGCCTGCACGAACATGTCATAGACCTTTCAACCAACGTAAAGTGAAGCGGTAGAGAAAAAGCTGAATTATCTTATTTTGTCTGCCCACCTGTTCTCTCTGAAATAGCTTTTATTTTTCCCTCCATCTAAGAAATATTTATCACCTTGACATGTTTTATACGTTGTTTTTCCTGCCTGTTTGACAATGCAAGTAGATGATACAAAGAACCAGAAAGATCAGGAGTGTTAGAAAATGCCTGCTTCATTTTACAACTGTAAAGTCAAAACTCATGCCTAAAGGAGAGTGGTACCACAGGACAGACACTGAAGTCACATATGTGACATGAAAATCATTCTGATTTTTAAGACAACTCTCTACCGTAAGATGTCAGGGTTGGAGGAGCTGGTGGCTAGACAAGTCCCAGTATGAAACTCAAAGAAATAGGATAAATGCCTGTTTTAGACTTAGGAAGATCTCAGCTTGAAGAGCTGGCCAGCAACAGAGCGAAACCCAAGCAGGTATCTGGGCTAAAAAGGCACAGCAAATCTCACAGCCCAAGAAGCAGACTGTAGATTGAGCCAGCAGTTATTTTTAACTGCAGCTTTGTGTAAGTGTATTTTCATGAGGATGTAGCACTTGGGAACTCCACTTGAAGCCTCTGTGAATTGGACAGCATTGTGAACTGCCCAGTACATCTGAGAACAGGATGGGTGGGAAGGAAGGAGGGAGGGAGTGAAGTCCTTCTAAGGATTAAGCACTTATCTATGTTTCTGTTCCCAGGAGTAATCACATAGGGCTATATTCATAGCAATACACAGATGAGGAGTTACTACTGGGGCTTTGAAGGGGCTCTCCCTGACCCACAGAGTAGCCCTTTGGTGTGTCAGGGTGGGACATGTATGTTGACACATCTAGCCAGGAGGCACAGCAGCACAGAGTGGCCAGTGGCAGGCCACGAGACTGGGCCGCCTGGCTTCCAGACTGGGCTGAATGCATTTCCATCCGGAAATCCTGGTTCCCATGGCACTTCCATATCCATGTCCAAGTACTCCTTTTTATTACATCCACATTTTATGTAAAGATGAGACATGGGTATGTATTATGCCTTTTCACCTCCTGGATTCCTCCAGAAGAAGAACGTTTGGGCATGCGTGTAGAGACTCAGGTCACACTGCTGGTGGAGTGTGCTGCAGGGTGTATCTATCTGCCACACTGTTTAGCCTATGTATGTTTGGTGTTCAAAACTGAACTACTGATGGCCTCCACAAGTCCTAGCGTTGTATCTCTGCCTGATCTCCATCTTAGCTGCTCTGGATGGCCCTGAGCTCTGGGAAGGGCATGCAGAGCTGCAGGTTTCACTCCTTTTGGAAACGGAGGAGGCAACCCCTCGACTCTCCAGATTGCCAGTTCAAAGTAGGACAATCATAAGCTTGATTCTAAAACTATTATACTATAAATGGTTTGATTCCCTGAGCCTACACAGTACATAGAGTTATTGAAGTTTTCAAGTTTTTCTCTGCAACTAGAAAAGTTGAAAACAATTTTTGCAAAATTAAAAAATTAATTCATGAGCAGTTTCTCCAACCCCACAGCTGAAAAAGTGAAAAAAAAAAAAGAGGAATGTCACAAGAATTGTAGTAAAACAAAATAACCACTGGTAACATCATTTTCTGCACATTTGGATCCTCCCTGATCCTGCACTGATAGTGCATATTTCACAAAACATGCTCAGAAAGGATAAACCCAGCTATTACTGAGCTGATTCCTGCGAAGCAAGCTTCCTACATGGAGTTTTTCTGTGTTCTAGGCCATCTTTCAACGGTTTCACGAGGTGTGTATAAATATGTATGTGTATTTATGGAGCTGGATTGCATTCTTGCAAAAACCCTGGCAAAATTCCCATGGAGTTTCAGGGGAACAGGATCAGCCCTTTAATGTTTTAATAGTTTTCTGACTTCTGATTGGCTAAAGGACAAGCTACAGTAAGCAGACTTTCTGTGAGGTTTAGAGTAAATTTTCTCTGCCTTTAATCGGGAAAAGCAAAACGCAGTTGGAGCCGAGCAAGCTGCAGGCACTGTAGTAACTTCCTCTCTTATTTGTGAGAAGATTCGTGAAACAGTTACACTCATAAAAGAAGATATTTCAGCTTCTTTTTTTCCATGGGACAGGGTGATATCATTGATCTATAGTAGCCCCAGCATACTGGGGACAAATTTATTAGAATGTGTATGGTGGCACTTTTTGGTCTCTGTTCCAGCATGGGACTCTGGTCCAGAATATGTCCTGCACCTGCCAGTTCTGTCATGATATTGTTTCTAGTGAAACAGGTAAGCTCATTCACTGATTAATAATGGACTGTATGAAAATGGATTCCTATCACATAACATTTTAACCTTCACCAACATCATGTTCATTTCAAAAGTAGTTCCCCCAGCAATTTATATGTATTAAAAATTAGTCATGAGAAGTGTTGGTTGAGAAGTGGTAGAGTTTTGTACTAGAATTCAATTGAGGTCATTTATTACAATTTTCTTCTATTAATGCTCATTCATACAAGGAAGAAATTGCGTTTACATCTATTTATACAATCTTTTTTTCTTAGCACTGTTGATCAGTACTGAATTACACTTATTTTTCCATTTCCCTACCAAATATTAATACTCTTGTGAATCATGTTTGTTTTCTACAGTTTTTTCTCTGTTCTGAAAATAACTTTGCTTTGTTCTATCATTATCTTTTATCTGGTGTTACTGGCTTCATTCTGCACTGCAGCGTCTTACAGAAGGCTAGGAAATCTGTATGCAGTTTCTATTTTTATTCTTGTTGAGATCTATTAAACTATTCATTTCTGTTTTTTCTAAATCTGTTAGAAAAATCTGAAAGCTTACTTCTTTGTCTATAATGTTTTATGATTTGGAAGAGTTTAGGGATTTAATGACAAAATATCTTTATGTCACTTCAAGGGAATTTTCATGTATGCTTTTAATTATTATTATTTAATAATATCAGCCCTGGTATTTGATAAATACAAGAAATAATTACCAATGTGTATTACATTTCAATTCATCTGAATAAAATTCCTACATAGATTTAGGGTACAGCAATATGGTATTTCTACTCACTTGTCCTTCCTTTAGCTGGATTACTAAAGAAATTGTTTTGCATGTGTACGTGCTGTAGAGACTGTAATTGTGTTCCTAGTTTTTTTTTTATGAAGAAAAATTTAGCAGGAGACACATCTGCTGGGTTTTTTAACATAAAATATTCCTAATGTGCTTGTGTAATTGAAATCTGGAGCTTCTCTCACATTAATGAATATAGAACTGAAACAACTCTCTGGTTTGCGAGACACCTTAAATTGGTAGGACATCTGTACCAAAGCACTGGTTCCAGCAATGCTAACAGAAAATCTCCCAATTACTTCTGTGAAGTCAAAACTTCACAAGACTGTAAATCACAGTCAGTTACTTTGTTTTAGGGATTACTGTAACTTGTTTGTTCTGTTGCTTTCTATTGTATTTAATGAGACAGAAAAATTTAAAGAAGCACCAGAAATCACCATATCCAGATTTTTCCAACAAAAAAACTATAGAGATGTGAAAAGTATCAATCAGAATAAACCACGATCGTGGCTGAAATAATATGTAAATAATTAAGTTCTTATTCCTAGTTTATACCTAAATACACTATTTTTTCCTGTCCATAACAGCATAGTCTGAATAAACAGAAACAATTAATTTCCCTATTAACTTAGTATAAGAAATTAAAATGGTAAAATCCTGATTATGGTGCAGTCAGTCATGAAAAAAATAAATTTAAATCAGTCTGTTTACAACCTTGGAGGTCTATTATTGTAATCCATTTCCTACTTGTGAGCTTCAGGCTGTGTTTTCTGCTGCATCTAACATAAACAGTGGTGTCATCTTGGTGTAATCTGTGGGCTCTGAGCAGGGCAAATGAACTGAAAGACCCTTCCAGAGGAGCTGGATTACATTTCGGGATGGGTGAACTCTTGTGCGAGCAGGGTACCAGGCAGTTCATCTGCTATGTGAGACTTCAGATAGCTTGAAGTGAAGATATGCCCAGGTCAGAGCAAAAGGTCACAGGCTTTCCGAGCTTCTGCCTTGGACACTGGAGTTCAATTTCTTCTGAATCAGGAGCCCTGTTCAAATGCTAGTGGATGAATTTCAACTGAAACATAAAACTGAGATCAAAAGCCATGCTGAGCTGCAGGTTGCTGCTGCTTAAGATCATGGTAAATCCATCTGAAAGCTTGTATTTCTACTGCTAAGCATGCATTGTATCTAAATTTTTATAGCACTGAGTAGCCCAAAACTTAGATCATAACAAAACCCCATTGGGATCTGTAATCACGGACTCATGTCAGATGCAGAGAGAAATTTACCTGTTCTTCCAGAACACAGCCACAGAACCGGGCCTTCTCCCACACGTGGCCAAAGCAGAAAAAGCCCCCCATGAACTCAGTGGTGATTTCTGTGCTCCTCATATTGGTCTACACTGCAAACCCTCCTCTTTCTGAGGCAGCTTGCACCCCTCTCTGAAGAATAATAGCAACATGGATGTAAGATACAGAGGCAAGCCTGTCTCTTTGTTTATATCATTGAATCCTTTTCACTTAGACATATGGCATCAAAGTTTCCCACTTCCTTA